ATGTTCATAGACAACAGGTGTAAAGAAACATGCCTAATGTTTCTACCCTGGCTGGGAATCGAATATTTACCAAAAATCACATATGGCTAACCCAAGCCAGGTACTAAAAATAAGCCACGTTGACTTTTTTTGGGGGTTATCCTAGGTTCTCTATACATATGCTGCTATATGTGATAATCTATAGAGAGAAAATAACTTTTTTGTTTCATGTTTATGGTGCAGTACGAGTGTATATCACAGTTAGCCCTGTGCTACACTCCGTTTCCTCTAATATAACCCACCAAGACAGGGATAGGAGAATGGTATTTGTATACCATATGTCCTCTTCATACCTTCGTCGAACTGCTCGGTGTTATGCCAAATATTATTCATTCTGGAGTATTTAACATGTTTTATGTTATTTAAATTGTTTCTTATGTCATATTAGATCAACTGTGATAGGCAAATAAGCTGTAGTGTTGATATTAGTGAAATAATAAAGCATATTCTCCTCCTTCATGAGACTGAGTTCATGACAACCAACGGTGGCTTCAAAGCCACTTTATCTTTAATGGATAATGTACTGTGTAGGTGCTTTACATAATGAGAAGCATTTCTTTTATTCATTGGAACCATGGCTAGGGCTAAAAGCAAGCAGGTTAAAACAATAAATGGAGAAAAAGAAATTGGAATGACTTATGCAGCAAGTAGCACCACCAGACAGTACCAGCAGGTTGGTGTGGCGACCCTGGAAATTTGAAATTGTGCTAGCCAAAATTAGTGCCAAATAACTGATTGCCGGATTTGTGATGGCGGACCTGTATATACTCTTTGTTGTGGTAAACACTGCCATCTAGTGACGGCCTTTTGAAGCCGTCTATTATAATTGTTATATGTAGTACATTATTATTATATTATTATTATACATTTTTATTTTATTATCACACTGGCCGATTCCCACCAAGGCAGGGTGGCCCGAAAAAGAAAAACTTTCACCATCATTCACTCCATCACTGTCTTGCCAGAAGGGTGCTTTACACTACAGTTTTTAAACTGCAACATTAACACCCCTCCTTCAGAGTGCAGGCACTGTACTTCCCATCTCCAGGACTCAAGTCCAGCCTGCCGGTTTCCCTGAACCCCTTCATAAATGTTACTTTGCTCACGCTCCAACAGCACGTCAAGTATTAAAAACCATTTGTCTCCATTCACTCCTATCAAACACGCTCACGCATGCCTGCTGGAAGTCCAAGCCCCTCGCACACAAAACCTCCTTTACCCCCTCCCTCCAACCTTTCCTAGGCCGACCCCTACCCCGCCTTCCTTCCACTACAGACTGATACACTCTTGAAGTTATTCTGTTTCGCTCCATTCTCTCCACATGTCCGAACCACCTCAACAACCCTTCGTCAGCCCTCTGGACAACAGTTTTGGTAATCCCGCACCTCCTCCTAACTTCCAAACTACGAATTCTCTGCATTATATTCACACCACACATTGCCCTCAGACAAGACATCTCCACTGCCTCCAGCCTTCTCGTCGCTGCAACATTCATCACCCATGCTTCACACCCATATAAGAGCGTTGGTAAAAATATGCTCTCATACATTCCCCCCTTTGCCTCCAAGGACAAAGTTCTTTGTCTCCAGAGACTCCTAAGTGCACCACTCACCCTTTTCCCCTCATCAATTCTATGATTCACCTCATCTTTCATAGACCCATCCGCTGACATGTCCACATATTATTATTATTATTATTATTATTATTATATAAATAATTTGTAATTTTTATTCACACAAAAAAATATATGATTTACTGTTATTCCTTATTGCAATAATTGTATAAATAATGTCAACCCATTCATGACTGCATATTGGAATGGACAGTGACGTCATTTGTTTACTCTGAAACAGCCAAGCAATTGACCATTTGTCCTAGGTTGAGATCAATTTCATGTCACTTTTTGTCGTGAAAGCAATCAAAATCATATCTATTTCTGTAATATAACTTTCATTCTATCAAATGAGACCAAAAAAAATGAGAATACAACCATAAAAACCATTCGAAATTACCGCTAAGGGGTGACTAATTGCTGAAAAGTGAACTCCATTTTTTACGCTTAGATTTCTTTCATTTTTGGTGTACATTAACCCTTTCAGGGTCCATGCCGTAGATCTACGGCTTTACGTTGAGGGTCCAAACCGTAGATCTACGCCATGAGCTTAGCTCACTCTGATAAACTGTGAGTGGTAAATTTGGGCCTAGATATGAGAGAATACATCTATGTGGTATGTGTGCACCACATAAAACAAATCCTGCAGCACACAGTGTATAATGAGAGAAAAAAAACTGAGACCGTGATTTTTTATTAAAACAGTGACTTTGCAGTGTTTTTTCATATGTTTTTTATAGTTGTGTTTGCGAATTCTTAGAATGGAAGCTATATTACAGAAATAGAGATGATTTTGATTGGTTTTAGTACTGGAAATGGCTTGAAACTGAGCTCAAATTAGCGAAAATGTTAAATTTTTGCTGATGACCAAGAGTAAACAAACGACCTCACACATCTAATACACGCCAGCTGGTGGGTCTAATATACATTCACAAATGTGGTGATGATATTTATATAATTATTACAATATTGCATAACAGTAAATCTTCTATTTTTTGGTTTGAATAAAAATTAATTATGCGAATAAAAAATCAAAATGGAATTCATTTGTAAAGCCTGAAAACATAACTAATGAACAGAGGAAATGTTAGTTTAGTGCCAGGAATGACTTCATTGTTTATTCTGGACCCTATTTTGAAATTGGAATATTTTGAACTTTGTGTTAAATTGGCCAAATTACCAATTTCCAATCACTTTATTTTGTAGTTGAAACAGTTGACTTGGCAATTTTTTGTGCTCAATCAATAGAATAGAAGTAATACTAGTGAAATAGCTAAGAATTTGGTCAACTGGAATAATGTAATTGGCCTATAATGGGAGTCAAAGTCGGCAAAATCGCGAGAGCATAATTTCGTCAATTTTCCATCAAATTTCATACTTTTTGTTTCATTACCTTCAGAAAAAGATTCTCTACAATTTCATAAGAAAAAGTAACTAAATTATTTTTTGAAAATTCTTGGACATTGGTGCACACTTTGAAATTTTGCCTCTGGACCATGAAAGGGTTAAGAAGCATCTTTCCATCATACATTGCCCAAGTTTCAATAGGATAGTCCAACGAACAAATGAGATACAATTGCCGAGATCAAGAGCAAGAGCCCCTCACCAGTGTCAAGGAACCTGCCTTGGAGTCTGCTCGCTCGTGGAAATTTTGCTTGCGTGTGGAAGCAAAAAATCGACCCATCGACTGCTCGTATTTGGAAAAACTCACACGTGGACACGCTCGCAAGTAGAGGTTCCACTGTATATAGTTTTTATTATAATGGAGGTATTTAGCAATTAATAACATTATAATTAGTGATACATTAAGGCTGAAGCTAAGTACACGAGTTGAAGGAATGACAGGGACAACACAGGATAAAAGAATCAATCAACATAATAAATTGTTGTTAGAATCACATCAGGGAAAAGAAGTGTTTTATGACAGTAGCTTTGAAGCAGCTGGTAGACAGAGCTCTGGAGCTATCAGGTAGAGAGTTCCAGAATTAGGTCCTTTGATGCACATTGAGTTTTTACAAAGATTGAGCCAGATGTGGGGAATATCAGAGATTTTTGTGTCTAGTATTATGCCTACGAGTTCTGTTGCAACTGTCAAGAAACAGATTCAGGACAGGATTGATATTAGAATTTATTGTCCTGTATATGTAGTATGCACAGTAATATTAGTAAATTTTGTGTATATTAAGTAGGTTTAGGCTATTGAAGAGTGGGAGAGTGTACTGTCTGGCAGCAAACTGGGTGATAGTTCATATAGCTGCGTTTTGTTATGTCATTATTGGCTTAAGGTGATTTGCGATAGTAGATCCCCAGGTACAAATAGTATAGGTGAAGTAGGGATAGATTAAAGAGTAGTATAATGTAAGTAGTGCTGCTTGAGGTGTATACTAACCTATCTTGGAGAGGATGCTAACTGATTTGGATACTTTTTTTTGTAATGTGTCGAATTTCAAGTTGCTTCTGTCTAGGAACAGATCTAGGAATTTTCCTTCGCTTTGTTTAGGAATGGGAGAACCATTAATCATAACATTTAGCTGGACATTTGTAGCTATATTCCCATACATCATGTAGAAGGTCTTGTCAATGTTAAGTGTGAGTTTATTAGTAGTCATTCAGACTGATATCTTTAAGAGTTCTTCATTAACAGTGTTAATGGGTAGGAGATGATAAAAGTTGTGTTACGTATCGTATGTTTCCCTCTAAACAAAATGTGTAAAAGTGGAATTATAGTTACTCAGCATCACTGAATGTTGTCAAGAAATAAGCAGCAGTCTGTTGTATCTGACATGGAGTAAAAGATAAAAATCCTTGGACATGATTAACATGAGAGACTGGTTGTGATTCAAAATATTAATTGGAGAAATGTTATTTCAAGGAAGTTATTTTTGATATATGATGGGAAGAAAAGAGAGAGACAACAGACATTTTTTCCTTGCTTCTCTTCACTTAGGCTAGAAGCAGGAATTTCCATTTGTTTCTTATTTCTTAATGGTATTTTAGGGCTTTGGATTAAAGTACAATAATTTCTAACATACACTAGTTTGTAAATCAATATTCTGGCAAGAATTGGAACCTAGGGCGCTGAAAAATCAATGGTGTAGCTGTATACATGAACTGTGATATTGAGGCCAATTTTTGCTATGCTACAACAAAAATATATATAGTATTCTCAATATGTTTAGCACAATAATCATTGCTTTATAAGCTAGGTTTATAAGATCACCCCAACACACACTCAATGCAAAAACAGCTAAATTAAGTGAACAAACCAGTCAGTACAAGCCAGAAGTAAAATTTACAGCTGTCAAGTGTAGTAAAAAGAATTACACTATACTTTGTAAACTATGCTTACTTTGTCATATTCACCAAACTGGTCTCGTTCTTCCTGTGAACAGCTGCGACCAACTGGACAAACATTGATGAGACCATTGCGAAACTCTATGAATGTTCCACGCTTTACAGGCAAGGTGATGTCAGACATGTATCGCAAGGAAAAATTAATGAACTTCTGTAGTTTTTCTTCTCCCATGTGGCTTTGGATACACTGTAAAATAAAATGAATAAAAAATATAATGAATGTCAATCACAAAAGTCTCATAAATCATCAAGTTCTTCTCAAGTTTGAGAATCATGGAACTGAAATCTCAAAACATGTAGCATACATCATGATCAGGTTTCATCTCAACCAGAATAACGTAATGAAAAAAAGTGCCTCCATTTCTTACACATTATGTACCTGAACTTATCAGTCTCCTCCAGATCAACAAATGTTTAAGAACAAATGAAGGTTTTGCATAATGTGAAAAAATGAAAGGCCAGTATTCTCAACTGATAGCTTATTGAGGAAAATATATACCCAAGATATGACCTAGTAAGGATTAATTACAATTATTACAGGTACAATATCAATTTACCGGTAATGTATCGTAAAATACCTCTTCTAGACCAGACAAAATTATAAGTCTGCATTTTGCCAAAATAGTTTACTGGGTGGTCACAGATGGCATACAATATACAGTGCTCACTTACATTGTTTACACTGCAGTTATTGGTAGTGATCCCTTGATTGTTTTATTTACATAATTTGCTAACAAAAAACCTGTGTGATTAGTTCTACCATTTCAGTAAAATTCTAAAATTTACTACTTAGTAATGGTAGTACTGCAACATTCTTGTAAGTACAGTAATAAATAAACCTGTTCCATTTATGCTAATACTGTATTTAAGTTTCCAGCAGAAAATGGTGGGTCAGAGGTGTGTTGTTAATTATTATTATTATTATGTCTTCTGTTGGTTCAGCAAAAGTGACATACCAGCAAAGCCTAGGAACCAAGGGTGCTGGAAAACTGGTGTTGTACCTGTATCGTTATTATTATTAACAATTTAAGGAGAAGTCACCTAATACCACAATTGCAGTAATGGGTTTCTTCTGGCAACCTGAAAACCCTTAATTTTACAACTTGATGATCAGCATGTGTAGCACTACTATAATACAGCCCATCCTCAAAGCATGGCATAAAAGGAATGTAGAGGAGTACCAAATAACAAATACCATTCATACATGCACTACTCAATACCTAAAAAAATATAAGCTGAGATATCCTTCTCAATGACCAGCCATAATGATTATGAAGATTGCAGTGTACAGTATATGACCACAGGTAAACATTTATGAAGATATACCTTTGATGGGTTTCGAGAGTTTACCTATTCATGAAGCCCAGCCCTGGGCCAGGCTTGTTTTTAATATGCATGTGGAGACTGTGAGAATGACTCCATCCAGGAGACACCAAAAGAAAAAAAAATTCATAAACACTAGAACTTCAGAGATTAGCCAAGCATATGCAATTTAACCCTTTGAGGGTTTTCGTCGTACTAGTACGTCTTACGCGTAGGGGTTTTTAACGTACTAGTACTCATAAATTCTAGCGGCCTCAAATCTAGTGGGAGAAAGCTGGTAGGCCTTCATATGAAAGAATGGGTCTATGTGGTCAGTGTGCACAGTCTAAAAAAAATCCTGCAGCACACAGTGCATAATGAGAAAAAAAAACTTTGACCATTTTTTTTTTAATAAATCAGCGACTTTGCAGTGCATTTTTGTATGGTATTTATTGTTGTATTCTAGTTTTCTTGGTCTCATTTTATAGAATGGAAGACATATTACAGAAATTGAGATGATTTTGACTGGTTTTACAAAGAAAGGTGCCTTGAAATTGAGCTCAAAGTAGCAGAAATGTTCGATTTTTACCAAACTTCAAAAGTAAACAAATCGTGCCAAGCGTGCAATACACGTCAACTGGTGAGTCTAATATTCTTTCACAAGTGCACCAATAATATTTATACCATTTTTTACACTAATGCAGTAGTCTGCATAAGAGTAAATCTTATATTTTTTGTGAAAATAAAAATTCAAACTGGAAAGCAAAAGATATAAGAGGGCCTTGAGACGTGACTAATGACTAGAGGAAATGTCATTTTAGTGCCAGGAATGTCTTTCTTGTTTATTCTGGACCCTATTCGGAAATTGGCATCTTTTGAAATTTGTGTGAAATTGGAAAAATTGCTAAATTCTGACCACTGTACTGGATAGTTGTATTTCATAAATGAGTGGTTTCTTGCACCCATTCGATAGAAAAAATGGAGTTCTAGCGGAATATTCATGTTTTTTGTCGACTAGTACAGTGAAATTGGCCGAAAATGGGGCTCAAAGTGGGCAAAATCGCCGATGCGTAAACTTCGCCGAGACCGCTAACTTTGCGAGAGCATAATTTCGTAAGTTTTCTATCAAATTTCAAACTTTTGGTGTCTTTATGATCGGGAAAAGATTCTCTATCTTTTCATAAGAGAAAATAATTTTTTTTTTTTTTAAATTTGGCCGACCCTGAGAACGAGTTTCGGAGAGGGCCTGTCGACCCTCAAAGGGTTAAGTGAAATATGAAGCTTTGTATGGAAAATGAAAGATTACAAAACAGCTGAAAAAAGCACGTACTGTATATGAGAACAGAATATTTTTCCGAAATTTTAATCTATCAGTGAGAGTATGGTAGTTTTGAATGGTACTACTATACCTTCTCATGACTAAGAAGTCGTTGGATATATGTATACAAACCTAGGAGATATTATTTTGGCACATTATAGCAATTTTCTCTGAAAAACTTATTCGAAATTTACAGTTATCTACACATTCAATCCAAAAATCTACACATGATAATACAAACTGACCAATTTTTTCTAGCATACTAGCCGTCTCCCACCGAGGCAGGGTGAACTGGAAAAGAAGAAACACTTTCACCATCACTCACTCCATCACTTTTGCCAAAGGTGCACTAATACTATAGTTCAAGTGCCCCTACAAACTGAAAATATCCCCATCCCTCCTTCAGAGTGCAGGTAGTGTATTGCCCACCTCCAGGACTCAAGTTCGGCTAACTGGTTTCTCTAAATTCCTTCATAAATGTTACCTTGCTCACACTAAAACAGCACATCATGTCATAAAAACCATTCTCGCTCCCCCCACTTACAATTATAATGCAGAAATATGAAGCACAATTATAAGGGAGAATTTAAAAGAAAAACACTATAAAACTCATACCAAGAGCAGCCTTTTACACATTTCAACACCAATAATATGCTGATTTGTAGCATGCATGCTTACCTCTTTATTAATAAGATTACCACTCTCATAAGCCACTAAACCATTCTCAGCAAAAACATATTGAAACTTGAATAGTGCTGCAAGAGAACATAAACAACAGCATCAGATTAACATGAAACTTAAAACCATTAAAATCTTTGTTATTTATGGAAGACAAAGTTATTGTATATCTACATATACGAGTGTGTTTCATGCCTATTTAGTGTGCTGATATAAATGACTCCCTTATAAATAAGGCTGTGTATCTTATGCTGAATCTTTCAAGCTAATTACTTATGAATTCCACTTATTTTTTATAAATGGCCTACCTGAATGAACTATAACATGTCAATCAACTTTAGATGAAATGACAAAGATCATTACTTGAGAATGAGGTATTGAACAGCTACACAATATCATGAAGAATTATGGCAAAATTCAATCTTGAAAGTGTCAACTGACATACAGGTGGTATGTATATACTATGTGAAAGTCAAATTAGCAATAATGCTGCTTATGTTTATTTTAAATGTGTAAAAACTTAAACTGGAATATTTGATTTTTTATTACTATATGTACATGATTTTATAAATAAATCTAAATATTTTGTTCATATGGAGCAATTCAGAAAAGATTAACCAATGGGCAACACTCTTTGATTTTGCTGATACTTGGTTTAGTGAGTTTTTGGCCAAAAAAATAAGTTTTACAAAAGTTTTAGGAAACTCTGATTCATAGATCAAAAATTATGACAAAAATCATTTTGAAGTGACTTGCTAACCTCCCATAAAGTAAACCATCACTTGAACAGACTTCAAAATGTGAAACATAATCCACTACATCAATTGGTTTTCTTTCTTTCTTTCAACACGCCGGCTGCATCCCACCGAGGCGGGGTGGCCCAAAAGGAAAAATGAAAGTTTCTCCTTTTACATTTAGTAATATATACAGGAGAAGAGGTTACTAGCCCCTTGCTCCCAGCATTTTAGTCGCCTCTTACAACACGCATGGCTTACGGAGGAAGAATTCTGTTCCACTTCCCCATGGAAGTAAGAGGAAATAAACAAGAATAAGAACTAGAAAAAAAATGGAAGAAAACCCAGAGGGGTATGTATATACATATATGCTTGTACATGTATGTGAAGTGTGACCTAAGTGTAAATAGAAGTAGCAAGATGTACCTGAAATCTTGCATGTGTATGAGACAGAATAAAAAGACACTAGCAATTCTACAATTGTGTAAAACAATTACAGGCTTCCGTTTTACACCCACTTGGCAGGACGGTAGTACCTCCCTGGGTGGTTACTGTCTACCAACCTACTACCTAGAATCAATTGGTTTTATTATTATTATTATTATTATTATTATTAATATGGGGAGTGTTAAACCTGTTGGGATTATACAGTGCCTTTGGTGGTGGTGGGCGGGGTGGAAGACATTCAGGCTTAGTTCAGGGAAGTGGAGCACATATCCAATTCCCTAGATCAAGAGCCCCTCACCAGCATCAAGGAACCTCCCTGGAGGGGTCAACTGATTTGAAAACAAAGGATGAAGTCTATTGGTTACAGAATTGTATATTATTATTACGATCAGAGCGGTAACCCTTTGACTGTCGAGACCCCTGATCCTGAACTCACTCTCTGTTGAAAAATATGTAAAGATTTTTTTTGTGATGAGTACTTACTGAGATACAGAGGTGAGAAGTTGACAGAAAGTGAACCGCTTATGGCAACATTGGCGACTGCCACTCACTCGGTAATAGTATTTTTACTTTTATTCGATTTTTTTCTTTTCTTTTCTAATATTTTATTTTGTCAAGTAACTTTTGTGGCCTGTGAAACCAATATAATGCATAATGTATATATATCCACTCATTGTATAGAACACAATAACCACACAAACATTATCATTATATTGTTACAAAACATGTTTACACAAGCCCATGCCACCTTCCCCACTACCCACACTACCTTCCCCACCACCCACACCGTCTTCCCTCCACCCACACGGATATAAGTCTCTTTGTCTGAATATTTTGGGGTAATCCTAGGCAATCTACACATATGCTGCTATGTTGTTTACACAACCCATGCTGCCTTCTCTGCCACCAATGCTGCCTTCCCCATGACCCTTCTTGCCTTCCCCACCACCCACATGAAAATAAGTCACTGACTTTTTTGGGTTATCCTGGGTAATCTACACATATGTTGCTATGTTTACACAAACCCAGGTTGCCATCCCCACCACTGACGCTGCCTTCCCCACCACCCACACTATCTTCCCCACCAACTAAGCTGTCTTCCCCACCACCCACATGGAAATAAGTCACTTTGTCTGACTTTTTTGGTGGAAGGGTGATTATCATCTGGGCTTTCAGCACTATTTCTGGTATCCTGGCCATTGCTTTGTGTCACAAACTCCTCAAAACCATGAGATTCATCTTCACTGACACTTCAATCTGTGTTAGAACTATCACTTGGGAAGGGAAGGGTCCCAATTCGCCGGAGAGTGAGGTATTCATCACCGCTAGGCTTGGTGACCAAGGTGTACTGAATTAGCACTCCCACAATGCACTGCAGCCTCCCCGATTTTTTTATACTGTGCACACTGATGATGCAGACCCATTCTCTAATATGTAGGCCTACCAGCTTTCTACTGCTAGATTTGAAGCCGCTAGAATTTTGGTGTATTAATACGTCACCAACACTGTTAGTAAGACATATCTATACGGCACCAACACTGAAAGGGTTAAATATCCAGCTAAACATATTGATAAATGGTTCACCTATTACAAGACACACTGAGGGCAAATTTCTAGGTCTCCACTTTGACTAATTTTAAATTTCAGACCCATATCCAGCATATAAGTAAGAAAGTTTCCAAAACAGTTGGCATCCTTTCCAAGATACGATACTATGTACCCCTTACTTTATATCACTCTCTAATATACCTTACCTTACCTATGGTATTTGTGCTTGGGGATTTACCATGGCCAATCACCTTAAACCTTTAATAACCCAACAAAAAACTGTGGTACAGATGATCAAAAACTCCTGTGCAAGACAACACATCCCACCACTCTTCAAAAGCTTGAAGTAACTTAATAAATGACTGTCTTTATCACAAGTTTTTTTGGCACGTTTGGGTATTGAATGATTGAAGAATTGCAGCACAATTTTATGTAACACGTTGTATAATTAATTTAACATGGTTCAGTTTGTGGGAAGGAAAAACAAAATTCTCATTTGCTCAAGCGGCCACCTTTTTGTGGCCCCCTCCTGCCACCCCTCCGCTCAGCGACACCACCCCACCATCCCGCATAAAAAATTCATACAGTCCTCTTTTCTGCTACAAGCCAGCTGTGTTTGTGAATTGTTTATAAATTTTTTAATTACTATATCTGTATCTCCAAGCAATCATGACACCCAGTCCCCATACCGTTTTTTACTGAAAAGGGCATGAAGGGGAATAAGCACTTAAGTCTTAGAATTAACAAGAAAAAATATTTTAGACAAGAATAACCTGTAGCTGAAAAATAAGTGTTACTTTGTACACGAAAAAGAGGTAAAAATATTTTGTGGACTGCTTACTGAAGACTTATAAATGATACATACTAAATGATGACAAACAAATGACTGACAACAAAATGACTGACATACTAAATCTGACTTACAGTGCCCTGATTCTGTCAGTCAAGTCACTCGTAAGTCAGTCAATCATTCGTAAGTCAAAAAGTCTTCAGAAAGTACTTGATGACTTACTGAATGACTTGACTGAATGAATTAAAGTTGACACTCCAGTAAAACCATTACTTTGTACCAAAACCTCAACCATCCACTCAGCCCAGTAGGGCCACAACAAACCTCCACTCTCTTCACAATCACCCACAAACACCGCCCCCAATTTAAAGGGAAGGAATACATTAATTTTTTCTTTCATTTTTAGTCTTACACAGTAAAAAAAACATAATACACCAATAAAAAACTACAACTACTAGTTACTTTTTTTTTTGTAAGATGTGAGGCCTAAAAAAAAGTTGTTTTGGCTCTTGGGGGGCTCCCAGGAACGTAACCCATTTTTCCCCCTAGGCTCTTTAGTTCCCCAAAAAAAGATATTACCCAAACGCATTTTCGGAACGTAACTACCCCTGCTAACTGACGGGCACTTACAAAAAAACCACACCTATTATTGTGCCTACTATATAATACAGAACTTTAAACTCCAATATCAATCTCCCTTCAAACTTACCTAACATGCAACAGAATACATAACATAACACAGGAACAAAACACTTTTTCATCCCTTTGTTCGTCTCACACTATCAAGAAGCAATTTACATAAAGGGCCCAAAATCGAAACTCTTTTCCCAAGACAGCAAGAGGTCCCCCCCCCAAATCAATTTAGGTACACTAAAAAATATCTCATCCTTAATAACAACCTAAAACCCCACTATGCAAAAATCTAACCAAATTTAAAGCAATCTCCCCAAAATTTATTATCCCTTAACATTAAGCCATTACATTTTCAAATTAAAAATCTAGTTTTTTACTAAATTGTACTACCTTATATTTTTAAAAAAGAGTAAAATATTGAAAATCTGAAATTTTCCCCTCTTCACCTGTTTTAAATTAAGTTCTTAAGTGTTAGGTTTATCGCCCAAAAGCTCGGGAGAGAGTGGCTTTTTTTTACCAATCAAATTAAAGAAAGTAAACACACATTGTAACCTTTACAAAGAATAAAAAATTTGATTTTCATTTTACAATTGTGACCAACTACTTTCCCTATTAGTTTTTAATCAAGGATTCCCTTAAAGTATTCAAATCATTTTTATTTGTTATTTAAAAGGGGGGGGAAAATTTTCCCCACACTGACAGTTTAAACAAAGATTTTATGAATGTGTCGAAAGAAAGGGGAAATTTCTTTCTTACCTAAATTGTACCAAACCGTTTTCAAAATTTTAAAATATTAATTACAGTACAAGCGAATAATATATAAAGTATATTTTTTTACAGTAAAAACCCCAGTATTGGGAAATTTTTGGGAAAAAACAGACTGGACAAACTGAATCATCGGATAAAATAAAAAAAGTAAGTAATT